CCAACCCGGGATGCTTTTTCCCCCCCCAAAGGGTTGGGGCTTAACCCCCCCCCCCCCCCCCCCAAATTCGAGCGTAAACCCCAGTATGCCTTGCTTTTGTGACTGCCAGTGTTCGACTCTGCTGAAGGGTGCACGCAGTTGTTGGAAACGCACACGACCAAAACCATTTCAAGACTACAGGTAAATTTTTTAAAGGATTCGACATGTCAAGTCGCTTTTTCTTTAATATCCTGTGCCAGAGACCGATCCAGCATCAAGTCGTGAGGATGAGAGAGTAGAGTGCAGCGGTTTTGGCGCATGTTACACTGACCTTGCGGGCGGGGATGACGGAGAAGAATGCCTTCTTCCAGTCGCGGTGATCCAGATACTCCACCAGAATCTCAAACACTAATGCAAGCCGAAGTGAGCCATGGGTTTCCATGCCGGAACCGAGTGCGGGGCCTCTGGCCAAAACACGTTTTCCCCTTTGAGCGCCTCGTTACGCCTTACCGTGATTGACTGTCAAGACTTGTCGACTAGCCATCGACACATACTGCGGACAAGGGGATTGGAAAGCAAGTTCAGCCCAACCAAAGCCCCAAGACAAGGCCGGTCAGTCGCACCGCCCACCAAGAGCAACGGCCTGGTCAGGTCGGGGAGGGCTATGTTCAAAGACTTCAATGCTTCACAAGATCGTACCTCGGAGATGGGGAGACGGGCATGAGCAATGCCTCGCTCATTGGCAAGCTTCAAAGTGAGACCCTGGGGCATCAAGCAGGCACAGATGAGGCCAAGAGTATTGGCAGCCCCTTCCTGGCATCCAATCGCAAGGGAGCAAGCGTATAAAGCACCTTGTAGCTGTTGTGATCGACCAATCCGCCAATGACATATTGCTTGGTTTCATCCAAATCTGAGTGCCCAAAGCCAAAGCCAGGCGAGATCAGCCAGCCTGATTGCAACCACATCAAAGCCAGGACACATGGCGCACTCGAAGGTTGTGAGACCCTTCGACCTTGGTTATAAGGCGTTCGTACCAGAAAGAACGTTGGGGCTATCACTGGTGAGATAGACGAGCGTCTCCGGAGAGAACCGCTCGTTGTAGACTTGGGGTGTATGATGCACCTGAATGCCGCAAAGTGAGGTGGGCATTTCATGCAATGTACCCGAATACAACGAGTCAAAGGGAAACAGCGATGATAGTTCTTTGGCATACGCACATCCCAAGAGCGAAAATCCACTTGGTCCAACAAGTCCTTCAGAGCGCCTGTCACATGCATCCGGCGCCGATGCAGGGCATTGGCGGCATGCAAAGATTGGTTGAGCAACAAGCGGTGCGCGTTGCGCGCTGGCTCTGATGAATGATCGCCGCGTACCATCAATTGAGGTCAGGTGCAGCTGGCAAGGGTGCGGGCGGTGCCGATTCGCGGCGTAACAGGCTCGCAATTGTTTGGCCAACTTTTTCAAATCCTGCACCAGCCCCATAGCCATGAGCCTGTCTGAACCTCGAGGGTCACGTAAAAAAAGCCCAAAAATTGCCGTGGCCTTGGCACGCCCCAGTGGCAGCTGGTCCGGCCCTACCTTTTCGACGTGATAGCTCTCGAAATCACAGTCAATGACAATGGCCTGGCGCAGGGCCTCGAGGTCCTGCATGAGCACCGTTGGGCGCTTGGCGGGGGGCTGTGGCGCATCGCCGCCTAGACACAAATCCAGTTGGGTCAAGGAAGCAGGCACGCGGGCAGACAGCGCTGCGCATGGGACATACTCCTTGGCGGCATGTGCAACGAGTCAGGGAGGCAAGCCATTCGCCAAATAACTTACCGGCGACGTCGGCGTCACGTTTTTGTGCTCGCTTCTGCTGTGTCTTGGCTCGTCGAGCTGCCCTGTGTGCATGGCAAAACCGACGCGACGGCACTTATTCAAGGCGGCGACAATTGCACTCAGGTTCGCGCTGGCATCGATGAGCGCCATGGCGCTGCCACATGTGGCCTGAGCACGTGGGGCACATACCGTCGGTCTTCAGCTCCCGCTTCCCAAATCATGTCACGCTTAATCTTGCGCCGCTGCCGCTTGGACAACTTGTTGCCTGCCTCATCATACTCGGGTATCACGAGATGTGCCCCTGGCATGACACCGCCACGGCATCAGTCCGGGACTTGTTTCTGAGGGTAAGTGGCGTCCCCGATGAAGGCTGACTCGACCGGGACTTACATTTGTCTCGGGCCGTTTGCACACGGTCCACGGAGCCATCGGCTCCATCCTGCGGTGCGCTCTCCAACTGCTGCCCATCTACTCCTTGCTGGCCAGCTGACTCTTCGCTAGCCCCGCTCTCCACCGTCGCTGCCGCATCGGGCGCGCTCCACAGCTGTCCCATGATGGTGACAACCCTCTTGCTTCGAATGTAAAATTACCACACGAGATGTGTTAACAGTGTAACGTGTGAGAGAGTGAAAGAGTTAAACTCTCTGCTACGGCCACAAAACGGGTCTGGCGTGGGCAGATGAATTAAGGGGATGTACACAGGAGCGAGATGCTACCGACAAAATATCACAGATGTGGTGACAAGCGCCCCCTGAGGACACACCGAAAGCCTTTAGAGGTGCTACTGCACGGAGCTTATCAAGGATGCCTCACCTGACCCGTGAAAGGAGAGAAATCAACTCAAACAAAGGAAAAAAAAAAATTAATATTATGAGACACCACTGTGGCATGAATTACGCTGAGCGCGAGGCTTCGTCCTCGTCATCGTCGATAGGTGCAATGGCGCTTGCTTCCGCCTCCAAAACCGTTGAGCGGCCTGGGGGTCGCAAGCCCGTCGGTTGAGCACGAGACGAGGCGGCGAGAGAGGAGTTGCTGATCCGCCGCGTGCCCTCGTGAATTGCTGCAGAAGTGAACATGGTGGAGCGATCGCCGAGGCCAGAGAGCTGCAGATCCATCATGCTATGGTCGTGCTGCTTCGCTGCGTGTGACCGTGCCTGCGCCAACATGGAGTCAATCTGCTGCTGCGCCTGACTGAGTTGGCGACGCGTATGGGCGGCATCCGCCGCCACGTTGGCAGTCGCCGCGGCCTGGGCGCGCTCGGCGGGGCGAGGTGCATGATCCAACTCTTGGCGCAACAGTTGTACCTCGGTGCGCAGGGCCTCTAGCTCACGCATGCCCTCGTCGGCATCAACTCCGTCTCGCGACGGGAATGTCCTCGCATCCTCCCCAAATTCCGGCCGGTACTCTGGCGCTTGCTCCCGCCCTGGCTGCCCACCATCAGGCGCAGTGCCCGCGCCAGCGCCAGCACTGATACCTGTGCGGCCGTGGGTGCCGAGCTGCGACGAGGTCAGTGGCGCGTGTAACCAGCTGAGGTCACGCTCTTGTTCCACTGCACGGAAGCGCAGCTGGTCATCCACTGCCTCGCGCGCCCGCACCGTGTGCACACGCGACTCGTCCAGTGCCGCCCGCAGCGACGCCATTTCTGCCCGCTGTTCCTCAACCTTGGCCGAAGTCAGCTCTGAAACCCGCTGCGTCTCTTTTAGGTGATCGTAGAGCGTTTGGTTGAGGTTGACCAGCTCGCCCACACGCACACGGAGCCCCTCGTGTTCCTCCGCCGATGTCTCGTTGAGAGCTGCTCGCTGCGCCGCCTCCTCAGCCACGCCCACCACGGTGTTGAGCTTGCGCTCTAGCTCCTGAATGAGTGCCGTCGACGCCGACAACTGCTCGCTCAAGGTAGCACTGCGTCGTACCACCTCGTGGTGCTGACGCCTCTCCTCCTCCAGCTCGCGCTGCACCATGGCCAGTCGTCGTGCAGATTGGCGCTGACGTTCCTGATCCGCAGCATCAGAGGTGCCACCCAAACTTGTCGGCGCCGACCCCGGCACGGCAGCACGCTCGTTCAAAGCACGCTCCAAGTCTTGCACGCGATCCCGCTGTAATTCAGCCGAAAAATCTCGCGCCTGCACGTCCACTTGTAGGCGCGAGTTGCTGTCTTGCAAGGCAGCTAGCTCTGCCTGTGTTGCCGCCAATTCTGCCCGCACGGCGGCCAGTTCTGCCGAGTCTGCGTGTTGTCTGTTGCCAGCCATTGGCGGTGCTTCATCGGTCCCCGCAGCACCCCGCAGCTCGCGCTTATGACCGTCCTCATAGTCTTCCATTTCACGACGAAAACGTTCATTGGCCTCACGCAAGAGCTCTTGTCGGCGGCGAGCCGCCTCCAGTTGCTCCTCGCTGGCCAAGGCTCGCTGATGCAGGGCTTGTTGCTCCACTTGTGCCTGGTCCAGATCCTGTTGTGCCACCTCGAGAGCGGCCTCAGCCTTGGCCAAGCTGGCGGCTAGGTGCGCTCGCTCCTTACGGAGGGTTTGCAATTCGTCCTCAGCTTGTCCCAGTTGCTCATCGCGCGCTTCGCCCTCGGTTACCAAAGATTGCAGCCGCGTGATGGTTGCCTCGCCGTCTGCAACGGCTTGACGCAGCTCACTTTGGCGGGTCTCAGCCACAGTCAACTCTTCTTGTTGTCGCTCACTCTGGGCCTTCAGTGCTGCTTGTTCCGCCTGCAAGGCCTGCAGATCCAAGCCGAGCCGCTGCACTTCCTCCTGGGCTTTGCGCTCGCCATCGTCGGCCATCTCCAAACGACTTGTCGCAGCCTCCAGTTCCTCGGTCAGGCGCGCAACGCGCTCTTGCAGCTGATCCACATTGCTGTTGGCCGTGTCCTGCAGACCACGGACTCGCTGCAATTCATCCTGCAGCGCCTTCTTGTCAGTCGACAGAGCTGCTCGCTGCTCCGCTTCGGTATCTCGTTCCGCCTCAAGCACCGCGAGCTCTTGCCGCAGGCGAGCAGCCACGCCCTCCAGCTCCGCCGCTTGGGCATGAACGTCATCCAGCTGCTGATTAAGCTCACTGGCCAGTTGTGCTGCAGCCGCGCGTTGCCCATCAAGCTCCGCTAGCTCGGCTTCCATGCGATCGGCTCGTGCTTCGCTGTTGTTCACTGCTTGCTGTAAGCGATCCTGTTCAGCCAACTCTGCACGCAGGCGTTCTTGCTGCAGACCAAGTTGGCGTTCCAGCGACTCGCGAATCTCCGCAAACTCGGCCAACTGAGCATCAGTGACAATCTTGGCATTGAGCACGTTCTCCAGTTCGTCCTGGTACTGTCGCATTTGGTCATCGGCCTCTTGGAGTTGCTGCTCAAGCTCCTCGACACGCGACTGCAGCTCGGCCTTGCGGTCTGCTTCTTCAGTGGCTGCCTCTTGCAGCGCATCCACCTCGGCCTGCAGCTCGATGATCTGTTGTCGTGCCGTCTCGTGCTGCTGACGCAGCTCCTCTGTCGCACTCTGGACGGAGAGCGCAAAGCGTCCGGCCTCCGTCTCGCGTGCAGCTGCGGCCTCTTGCTCACGCAGCTCACGAATCTGGCGCTCAGCATCGGCGCGCATCTCAGCCAGAGCCGTTTCTTCCTCGGCGCGTCGTCGGTTCAGCTCCTCCCGAACCATGCGGTCACGTTCGCGCTCAATTTCACCGACGCGGATTTCCAGTTCGCGATCTTGCCGAGCCCGCGCTTCAGCCAACTCAGCCCGCAGTTCGGCCATGGCAACATCACGAGCCAATGCCAGTTCGGCGGCCTGCTGTTGCTGTCGCGTTTGTTTTTCCAAAACCTCCTGATCTCGCGCTGTCTGCAGTTCCACGTCATGATCCCGTCGTAACACGCGCAGTTGTTCCTGGAGTCGCTGCTGTGCTTGCTGCGCTTCAGCCTGCAGCTGTCGATATTGTTCCTGGCGCTCTGCCTCAAATCGGCTCAGATCGGTTCGCAGCTCCCCACGCTCGGCGGTAAGTGCCTCAATTTGGGCCAGCAACTGCGCCTTGTGCGTCTCGAGATCGCGCATGGCCGTGTCGCGCATCGTGAGTGTCAAGTTATGCACGTCAGCTTCTGCCCGCTGGCGCCAGACGCGTGCCTCCTCCTCCAAGCTAGCTTGCTGTTCGCGTCGGTGCTGCGCTGCTTCCTGTCGGACAGCATCCAAGACGCGAGCTCGCTCGGCCTCGGCCTCTTGCATAACGGCATGGGCTTGTTGCTGTGACTTGAGCAATGCCTCATTGGCACGTTCCTGTGCCTCACGATGAAGCTGAGCCGCCTCCTCTTCGGCTGCCTGTCGACGCTCGCGCACTTCACGGTCAGCTGCCTCCCGGGCTTGTTCAGCGGCTGCCTCAGCCTCGCGGCGGATGGTTCGTGCCTCGTCCTCTGCTGCTGCCGTAGTTCGCAGCATCTCCTGCTCCGTGCGTGTGCGCTCCAACTCTTGAGTGGCATGTAGTTGCTCGGCCAGTCGAGCACGATCTTCATCCACCCGGCGTCTGGCCTCGGCCGTAATACGTTGCGCTTCGGCTTGTGCCCCGTCAATGATCCGTTGCCGTTCAAGTTCCAGAGCTTGCTGGCGCACGGTTAGCTCTTGCTGTTGAGCGAGCAGCTGCAAATGCGAGGATTCCAATTGGGACGCATTGCGTCGATCAAGGTTGGGTGAGCCGGGGGGCAGATGCACTGGACTAGTGGCGCGCGGACTTGTTACCATGTTTGACACAGGGGCACGCCCACTAGGCCCCAAAAGAAGTTCTTCTTGTGATGTGCCCGGGAGGGAAGAGGAAGCGAGTGACGTTCCGGATGCTTGCGCAGGGGGGTTACGCATGTTGCCACGGTCCATCATGCGAGACCCCTCAGTACCATTCAATGATGCCAGACCGTGATTAGAAGCGTGTCCAGCAGTGGGGACATCGTCTTCAAAAGCCGTGTGATTGTGGCGGACTTCACTGACATTGCCAGGTGCGGTGGCATAGAGGTGAGAGGGTGGCTCAAATTGTGTAGCATTGATGTGCGATCCGTCGTGGTGCACGGTATAGTGTGTGTTGTCATTGACGGTGTCGCCGTAAGTGTTGTAAAAGTCGGCCATGCGATCCGCTGAGTGATCGAGCGGATGACCCGCGGCATAGGCCGAGCCATTGAACGTGCGATCTACAAAAAAAAAAAAAAAAAAAAAAAAAAAAAAAAAAAAAAAAAAAAAAAAAAAGCAGCAGAGTGCAAATCAGTACTATTGCACTGAATCATTGGCGAAAGAGGTCGGTGCAAGATGGAAGAAGGCGCTTCACTGCACGTACTGGAGCGTGCTTGCGTCTTGGAGGGAGAGCGCCCAGTTTGTCGGTGCTTCATGTTTGCACGCTTTTGAGCTCGCAAAAGGCTTCGGTGGTGCTCGTAACGCAAGTACCGCTTGCAGTCCTCAAAATCTAAGGGGGGCGGGGCGGTCAAAAGGCGCAATATGAAAATAGGAATTGAGCATGCAAACGAAGTGCAAAGGCCTTCGCTCGCTGAGGTTGGCAGGAGGCGTTGGTCAGAGCAAGTAGCTATGGCACTGACCAACAGAGTTTTTGCCTTCACGATCAAGAATATTGACCAGGATGTGGATTTCATCCGGACTGTACTCAAAGTTGAGATTGAGCAGGCCTTCGTGCATCTCCTCGCGAGTGATGAGACCATCTTGGTTAAGATCCAGGCGTTGAAACACATCGATGAGCCGAAACTTTTCTTGGGACATGAGGTTCATGAGCTCAGTTACCCAGCGCGTGAGAATGTCGCGCTGGTATTCGGGCATTGTGTCAATGGCCAAGGTTGCACCACCACCTTGGGGATCGAGGTTGCTGGTGGTGGAGAGGAAGTAATTGAGCATGCCGGTCTTGCGCTGCCACTTTGGAGGGCTCTTGAGGGAAGGGCGAGCCTCAAGGTTATGTGCAGGGGACAGGGTGCGGCGTAGCTTGCCGTCCTGGAGCGCTTTGACCTGGCGGCGGGCGGAAGGGTCCAGCGTGGTGGTCCCTAAGAATGAGCCGTCATGGGTCGTGGATTGAGGGGCCATTGATTCGGAGCCCTCAAAGTGTACGGAGCGCTCCGCTCGGCCAGGTCCGCGGCGACGTGGGGTCGAGGTCGTCGCTGCTGCAACCGTTTGCTTCTGGACTGCTGGCTCGTTGCTGCTACGAGCACGATTGGTGGTTGGTCGGGATCGGCCCATACCGCGCGCTAGGACGCGATCGGCAATGGTCGCTGCCTGGGTGAGGCCAGGCTTGCGCTGATTGGTGGCCACCCCTGACGTGCGAGCTGAGCCCATACCACGCCGCGCAACGGCGGTTTGTGATGTGGTCTTGGGTGGCTGACCTTTGGACTTGGGTGCGGCTCGCGTGGTTGGCGCTTGACCCCTAGTTTGGTGGTTCGTTGTTGCTGCGCCTCGTGGAGCTGCCTGTGCGGCGACTGTCTCTTGTTTCGAGGCCGAGGTGCGCTGCGAGGTGGGTTGCTGCTTCCGAGCACTTTCCAAGGCCTGGTCGTGGGCAAGCTGCTCCATGGCAAGGAAAGAGTCCTCCCCACCCGAGGGGCCGTCATCATGCGTTGGCTGTTGGGTTGAGGCTGGTTCGTCGTCAAAGCGAGTTGCGTCAGCATCAGCTGAAGCGACATGAATCTCAGGGATTGAGCCCACACGCAAGGGGTTTGAGGTTGAAGCCGGAGACCCCGGCTGGCTGTGATGGCTGCTTGGATCGGAATGAGCAGGAGCGGGTTCAAATTTATCACGGCCAGCATTGATAGGCTCTGAGTCCTGGGCACTTTGGTCTGAGTCGGCATCTCGAAGGGGGCTTGCATGCTCGTCATCTGAAAAGCCCTCTTGGCGATCATGGTCCGTTAGCTGAGCACTGCTGGCAGAAGCAGCGCTGTGGCGACGTGGTTCATCCACTTGAAAATGCTGCTGCTCCTGTGCTTGCTCTTCATCATCTGTAGCACGATTTATGGAGTCATCGTCCTGCTCTTGTTCTGGGTCAGTAGCGTGGCCGAAGGAAAATTCGTCTTGTTCTTCAAGGTCAAAACCACCCACATCAAATTCAGGTTCCGAGGCATCGGGCAGATCCTGGCTAAAGTTACTACCTCCCTGGCTGGGTGCATCAAAGTCGTCCGAGTAGGCAAAGTCCTGTCGTGGCAGTGCAAAGTGAGCAAGACCAAGAGGTTGGGGTGAGGGAGATAGCGACGCGTATAGCGAGCATTGTGTGCGAGGCGCGAAAAACATTGTGGGCAACCCAACCTCCTCGATGGGCTCGTCTTCAACGTCACTGGGGGCCCGATCGGAATTGGCCCGATCCCGGGGCCCCGGCGCGCCGGCCAAAAAGTTGAGCAGTGGATCTTCGTCGCTCATGTCGGCGCGCACGAGCGAGCGAAACGACCTCGCGGGTGAAAATAGGGCTGATGGGGGGTGACCCCCTTGTGGGCTTGGAGAGTGAGTCTAACTCAAATGTCTAGTGGATGACCAGACTGGTGGGCCCAGCAGGGCCAGCTACCCAGCAAGGAGTGCATCACAAAATTTATGTGAGCAAGAAGCGAGAATTCACGTTCTGAGCTGATGGTCCTTCACGACCAAAATTCAGACGGCCCATCCTCCACCCGGGACATGTCATCGAAAACATCCTCCCACATACCGTGCTCAGACGGCCGTTTGCTTTGCTCCCGCCGTCTGCTCCAAGGTCGTGCTCCACCGCCACCGCCACCGCCACCGCCACTGCTCAGCGAAAAAAAAAAAAAAAAG